CTGCAGGGCCCCAGCCTGCCCCCTCCCACCGCTGCTGGGAGGGCAGCCCCCAGGAACGGGCTCGGGATGGGACGGATGGGACAGGACAGGATGGGACAACAACATGGCTGCGGCCCCTCCCGCCCGCACACAGACGTCCCCCGGCAGCCCCGCGGTTCCTCCAGGCCCCGGAGGAGGCCACGCTCCACGTCACAGCGCTCAGAGCCCCGCACTGAGCACGAGGTGCAGCGGTAACGTGGCAGGGCTGGGAGCCACGTGAAGGCAGCGTGACCCGTCTTGGTTACGTGTCATGGACTCTGCACCCACTCTGCCAGGCCCCGGGGCTGGCACTGCCGCGACTGCTTCATCCAAACGTGTTGCCGTTTTGCGAGCTTTCTTTCATCTCGGTTAAGTGGAAGACCCTCTCGTTACCCCATGGCTGTTCACTAACCAGCTTTGCCTCCCTTTCAACACAAGGGTGGTGTCATGTCTTTTGTTATTAATTCGGATATGGCAAGGAGTAACAACCACATCTGCTCACAGAATTAATCATTTCCAGCCCTGGGATGATGACGCAGGGTAGAGGTGCCCTAACACCAGAGACCTTGAGGGTGGTGAGAGCTGAGGCCCGTCCAAAAACTCGCCCAGGAGCAGCTCCTCACAGCAACGTGCTGAGGAGCCTGCAGCAGTGCAGGGCTCTCACCGACCTCCTGTTCTTCTCCTGGTCTAAAGGCAGCTCCGTAGCCCTTCCCGCTTGCTCCAACGGCATAGGTGGAACACAGGGTTCCTACAGAGCAGGTCTCTATGCCACGTGTCCTACATCCTGTCATTCCTGCGTGGGCCGTGGTTTCCTCTCATTTTTCCCTCTGAGGTCCAGCTCTTGGTGGGCTCGTGCCCTGCCCACGGCTGCTGTTGCAGATGGATGCAGCTGGATTTCCTCTCGTGCTTGTGCCACAGGCACCTCGCAACGGCTGCTCTCACCCAGACCTGCAAGAACCCCCGGTGCTTTGGGCACCTCTCCATGTGAGAGAGCAACGTTAAGCAGAGGTCAGTGTTGACACAAGAAAACAGAGGGGTGGAAACGGCGTGCAGGGAATGCGTGTGCTCGTTGTGTTCCATGCTGGCACAAGAAGCAGATCCATCCTCTGCAGCAGGGCCTTGCAGCGGACAGGAACCCCTCATCTTCCTCACCTGCTGCTGGCACAGTAGGAAAATACCAGCCTGTCCCCTCACCGCTAGCACAAGAAGCAAATCCATCCTCCCCAACAGGGCCTTGCAGCAAACAGGAACCCCTCACCTTCCTCATCTGCTGCTGGCAAGGTAGGAAAATACCAGCCTGTCCCCTCACCCTCCAGTTTTCCAGAAATATAAAGACTATTTCCCATCCCAGCCCACCCGCAGAAAGAGACGAGTCATTTCACGACCAGTTTATGAGATGGTAAACTTTAATGTTCAAGGTCTATGAGGGAGACTTGGGGAAGAAGCAGCATAACTGCAGTGCCCAAACCATCCCTTCTAAGGCACAGAGTGTATCACCCCGGGTGTTTCACCCCTGCGTTTCAGACACGAGCAGCAGGCCCAGAGCAGGAGCCCGGGTTCCGGGGCGCCCACCCGCTCGGCGCCGCAGACCCTCCCTGCCCGGCAGCGCTGGCAGCTGGGGACAGCCCCAGGGCCCCAGATCAGCCCAGGGAACACACACTGCCCACCGACTTCCCTACTTCTTCCAGCCCGGAGGACGTTACCTGCCAAGCCTTGTCTGGGCAGCCG